AAACAAAATAAGGCAAAAAAATATATTAAGAAGAAATAAAATTTTACATTTTCAACACATCTGTATCATAGCAAATACAGGTTTCCTTCATGGACTAGAAAGGGCCACCTCAACTTGTAAAAGTTTTTTTAAGATTCAAATGCTACATTAAATCTTCATTTACTTTGCAAAAGCCAAGGGTCAAGTTATTCAACCTTAACGCAGCATATTTGAAGAAGGTCATTGCATGAAAGGTTAGATTTTTCTGTATTATATAAAAATTCTACACACTGGAAAAAACAGACCAAAATACTAAATACCATAATCACATGAAACAGTAGTAGCACTACAGACTCAAACCCATTATTGTGTAGTTTCTAGTCAAATTTTCCACAGTGGATTTAAAGAATATTGTACCAATTCTCAATAACTCAAGAGTTAGTAATGGATACACTTCAGAACATACATCATGTTTCACCCAATGTGGGTGATCAAAAACTTTCTAAACCATTCATTTATCAGCTCAATTTAAAACACTCGGTTTGTTTATGTCCTTAAAAATACCGACCACTGCAAGTCAACAAATGCTACATCCCTTCTTCGGCAAACAAAAATAAACAGACAAGTTGGCAGTGAACTAGATCTGATCATGTTATATTGCGCTTGGGAATCTGAGGTTCAGTGCCAAAGAGTTCAGATCCCACTCAAGTCAATGAGAGTTATTAGAGCTCAGCCTAGAATCATGGTCCAAACTGTGGGATTTGTTTGTGATAGGAGGCCACTGCCAACAGAGAACTAATGGGTTCTTCCCATCTCTGAAACAGACAAACAAACAAAGTTAGCTCTCTGCTGTAAGGCTCCTTTGTGGTCTGCCACCACCTTTTTATTTTTTGGATTTTCATTTTCCTGTTATAAAATCCTTTTTTTTTTTTTCCTCATTAACAGCCAGCAGCACTGAACACAAAGGGTCACATTCAAAGCCAGTTGCAATGAATGTCAGGTTTTCTGTGACTTCATTAGGCTGTGGAATAGGTCATAATCTGGACCCAACACAAAAACTGAGTAGATTTTCATCAGGGTAATGCTGCTCTGTGACTATTTGTGAAGGTCTAGGAAAAAATACTGCAGGGCCTATGCCAGGGTAACCAACAAACTCAAATGTTGCAAAAATCTAGAGTGCAACATGAATCCTTCAAATCATCAAGAACATGCTGGTTATAGCTGAAAGACTTTCAAAATACCCATGAGAGTTTACCTTAAAGACTATTTAAGCATGGATACAAGTTTAGAAACAACTAAATATTAAAAATCTTTGCTTGGAATAAATGTTTTATAAAAAAAGAGAATATATAATAAACTTTCTTAAAGTTTCCACAGCATTATGTCAATCAAAAATCAATGTGTAAATCAATTTAAAACAGAAAAATGGGACAAATAAAATTATAAACTTGATACAGATATCTGTGAATATTACCTCAAAGATTTCAACTTAAGTTGACAGATGTATCTTGTATTTGACTTTGCAGTCACGCTTAAACAAAAGCTATCTCCACAATTTGGTAGTTTCTTGAAATAAATGTAAACCTATAAATTAGGTTCCTTGCTTTACATTTTCTAAATATTGTCAAATATAGTAATAGATAATATGCATTTTGTAATATAAATCACTTTTTAATCTTGATGATGAGATGCTGCAATAATGGCAAACTGAGTACTTACAGAATTTCATATTTCATTATAAAAGATATAGCTCTTTTAAAATGTTTCATTGTCTAAATAATTACATAGCTGTTGATTTTATATTCATAAAAAATATGCTTCTGCAACATAACTCTCAGAAGAGGACTAATTCTCTGTTGCTGTACTTGTATTTTTTAAACGCTTGCAGTATGCATCTTATGCACATCAATTTTGACTCAAGGGCATTAATTTCATTCCAAAATATATTTTTTAAAATATCTTTAAAAGTTTTAACATAATTTTAAAATATTTGCTATAAGAATACATCAGTGCCCGTAAGTCACTATGAAATTTATACTGACACCAATCACATATATAGTCTGTAACCTTATTGTTGAATCTAGAATGGGATAGTGTTTCCTGCACCTCCGTTCAGGAAAACATCCTGTTCGGAATCTTCCTGAAACACAAATGTTACTTTAAACTGAATTTGGGGTGTTATATCTATGTTCACTAAGTAACCTGTATACTCCATTTACATATGCTACTCATTTTTTTAACTGAACTGGAAATTAGTGGATATGGGAGAAGCAACTATTTGCTTCTATTCTCCAGTAGAATGCAAAAAAATAAAAATCACTTAAATAAGTCTTACTTTATGTAACTTCAATAAATGGAAGAAACTTTCCATAGCTACAGTAGTTGTACCAATAAAATGTACCTTTTAATCTTGAAAATCAGCAAAATGAGTTTCCAGTTGCCACAGTAAAATTAAGATGCAGTTAGCACTGACATGAACGATGCTACAGTATCCCTTCCATGTGAACTGAAGAGATCTTGATCGTGCTTTTTTGTTTTCATCTCCTTATAATGGCTAGACCTGCTAGTAGTCTAATAAATTTCAAGTCAACACGGTATGTCCATGTAATGAAAGCACACATGTAAGAATTAGAGCGATAATCTGTCTGACAGTCTCTTAAACCTCTTAACCTCCTATGATTAAGACTGGGTAAATACAATATACTTGCACACAGATAATCAGTTGACACAGTACATGAACTAGAAGCCTGTGTAAGCAACTGAAATTGTGTTTTCTAAAAGTCACATTTTGAGGCCAGGATCAAAACCTGACTCCTGATTCTTTGCTATATTACTAGTAACAATTCTAGAACTAAAGACAAAAATAAAACACTGGTCACACTGAAGACGTTGAAAATTCAGTGAAAGCAGAATTATGCCCTATACTCTCTCATGTAAACTAATTATATCTAAACAAATTGTCTAAACCAAAAACATGTAAATGGATAAACACGCAAGCCTACATCTGACACACATACTAACACCTCCAGACTTTGGGCTGTCTCTCTTAATGACTCAAATGCCATCACGGTTCAGTGGGTAAGAATGGACTTAACAACGAAAGCCATTTATGGATTTTAAATCTCAGAAAGGATGCATAGACGACAGCTGAATCAAACTGATCATTTCAGATAATTCTGGGTTTTCTGGGCATTGCAGTATTTATGGGGGAGATGCAGCTTTGAACAAAAATCCCAAGACACAAAACCAAACCAGAGCTTTTCTACATGGAAATCTCACTGGTTTTATTACAGTAGAAGTCTTCTTTTGTATGTGGTTTCATACAGGGAATTTATAATGTAATTTATTCCCTTTTTAGAATAGAGAATAAACAAATCTCATATAAGGCACCGTTGTAATAGTTTAAGTATGTCCACTCTAAGATTTGTGAAACACAGCTAGACATGACTGCAAGCCAAACAACCCCCTCATTTGCAGTTACGTGTCTACTGAAATGCATATAGACAATGTTCTTGTGTAATCTTCTAAGTATAAGAAGCTTCATTTTACCACACCAGTGTTGAGGGAAATAAGCTAACAATGACATAAACCTGTGGCTTTAAACCAATGAACTTTTGGTATGTTTAGAAAACAATGAAACAAAATATTTAGTGTCTTTTCTGGTAATGAAATGTATCGAACCTAACAAAACCTCTTGCGCAATGAAAAGTCTTTTGTGCAATGAAACATGCAATGAATGAATGAAATGAAACAAGCCAAATCAGCCTTCTCTTTTCAAGCCCTTTCACGCTGCCAGCAATACTCTGCTTCATTTGACAAATTCAGTGTTGTCTCAGGGCAGGTGGCAAGGCAGGTGTGAGTGTAGCTAAAGTACTGAATCTAGATGCATTTGGCTAGCAGATGATCTAGTTTAAACAGTTCCTATATTATTCCATCCTGCACTTGGACATGGTCAACCACCCTTTCAGTACATCAGGTAACCTGTCACAAAGTATTCCCTCCATTGCTTTGCTGGAAACTGAAATTCAACCTGAGTTATATACAGACTTCACTTCAAACTCTGTAGAGGTTTGACTTGGGAACATAAAGGCTATGGTTTTTCTCATCAGACATGCCTGTTCACAGCCACAGTCCGACGACTTGTTCCTGGCAGTACCTGAATGGATCCATCCTGCCAAGAAATCTGGGGAACACCTGGATCCTGCTCTGTGGAAGTACACAGCAGAGTCTTTGGATATTGCCCTAAATCATTTCACTAGGTTCCCCAGAAAGTACATCATCTTCAGCTTTCTACTGGTCACTTCATTTCTGTAGGCTCAATCTCTACAAGTAAGAGACCTAGGACCTGGAGAGAAATATTTTTAAGGTCTAGAGGGAAACCACAAGATAGGTGACTGAGCAGGAAGGGGAATGGACAGGCAGAGTAGGTATCAGGTGTGAATGATTCCACTGAATAATCTCTTTCAGTGAGATAAAGAGATAAATTTCCTCCTTAAGCAGGAGGAAAACGATCAACAGAGTTAATGGGTCAAAGAATATTATTCACTTTTGTAAAACAAGCTATGCTCATTTTTTTGTGCAACTAGCTTTCAACTCATAGGAAATGTAATGTAGTGTACCCCAACAAAAGTCAATTGAAACTCAATGTGTAACCCAGCAAGTATCTATGGAAGTTGTTGGCTTCAAGAGCAAATGCAGAATCTGTGTAGCAATTCAGGTAAGGTCAGTCCAAGAATCAAAAAAGATGATGTCTCTTACATCTCAATAAGCAAAATCATAGCACTACATATTACTTAATTTTTTCACATACAAATCAGTGCAGATGCGTTAGTTACATGTATGAACATAATTAATACAAAAAGGAAGATTTAAATCTGTTGCTCTTATTTTGTATGTGCTGATACCTTCTGAGACCAGCAGCTCTGCAGTCATGAGTGTTTTTTCCTTAAGGGGGAAACCAATATTTGTAACCAAGATGTAGGCATTTTAAAATTTTGAAATGTCTTACAGATAAAACTCTGTTAAGCTTCTGATGTTCCTTCCCCGTTCTCATGTGGCTGCAGTTGTTCTCTTTCTTGTTCTTCCTGAGGTGGTCTCACACGTTTGAAAAAGCCCATCTGTGATTCAGAGAACAATAAAAAAGTTGCATTGTGATTTTCAAAACATACACATATCCTTTCTCTTTCCTGCTTGATCTGATCTTAACTGATTGGCCATTTGATTTTTTTCTTCCCTCCTACTCTGAGTAATTCAGCACAATCACAGACCTCCTCTTTTATTCAACTTCTTCCTGACAAAGCTGAAAAGTCTTTAGTTATCCAAAAACTTAACTGATTCAGATATCAGGGGACCAAGATACTTCTGCAAGCTGCTGGTACAATTTGAAGTAATATATCACTAGTAGGGAAAAGAAAACAATACAAAACCCCTAAATCCAGTACTTACCCTGTACATCACAACCACTAGAACAGCCAAGAGCAACAATCCTGCTAGGACAGCCAAAATTATAACCCACACTGGTACAGGCATAGGCTGTGGTTGAATACCCCATGTAATATTTGTAGTAACCTAACAGAAAAACACAATCAATCACACTTTGCACAGCAGTGACATGCCGAGTTCATTCATGCAGTTTAAGTCTTGTGTATTTTTAGTGTATAGCGTTTAAAATAATCTTAATCCATCATAAATTACTTTTTCTCTCCAATGTGAGTAAACATCTAAACTATAGATTAGTAGTTACATAAAGGCTTCACTGACCCCAAATTAATAGGATTTTAAAATGAAATAAAAGCAGGGGTTAGGGGGTTCTGTTTTTGTTTTTCAATCAGTGATACCATGGCAACATGTATTCTGTAATGCTTGATGATTTTCAGTAAAACTGTAGGAATCTGAAAATATTTGGGAATTAAACAAAAATAATTCAGATCTTTTCCTTTTTTGATTATAAGGTAGTATTCCTTGAAACAAAAATGAACTCCACAAGGCTTAGGAGAGAAAAAACAGTTAATAATAGGCATTAGAAACCATATTCAAAAATAAATAAATCACAATCCTTTTCATTCCCTTTAAGATCTTTTATGCTATACTACCTACCAAAAACTTATAATTTTGCAGCCCAAATAAATGGCCTATACCTTCATTTCTGTTGGCACCCTGTCTCCTTTCTCTCTGAAACCCTCTAGGGCACAGATGGTCTTTTTCTCGCACGTTTATATAGCACTTTATATAATATAAAAAAGTCCATTATTTAAGCTCTAAGTGCTACTAGAGTAGAAGACAATTTTCAAGTAAAATATTTCTCTAATAACAACAGTATTAACAAAAACATTAGAACTGTTCACCTTAATTTTTCATTTTCAGTTAAATCTTCGAAGCTTCAAATATTGTTAACTCTAGTTTTAGGACAAATTTTTGTTTTACCCTCAATTGCATGTGTATAACTGAAATTAATATATGCATCAAATACTTGATAAAATTACAATTATACCAAGCCACAAAAAAAGCTACTCAATTGTCCTAGTTTTAGCTGGGACAGAGGTTTTTTTTTTTAACAGCTAGAAAAGCTCCATGTTTTGGTTTTACTCAGAGGCTCACTCTGAGAAGAACGCTGATAACAAGCTGCCAAGGACTTTTCAGTGTGCCGGAGTGCAGAAGCATGGCGGGATAAGGGGGGAGCATAGCTGGGACAAGGGGGACATGATTCCCCTTGTGATTTGTGTGGAACTTAAGACTGAGGGCCAAACTGGCCAATTAGTATTCCATATCATGCAGCGTCATGCCCAGTATAAAAGCGAGGGTCAGACGGGAAGAAGGGCTTTTGCGCTTTGGCTTTTGCTCTTTTGCGCTTGCTGTGTTTTTTCGCTCTATTGCTTTTCTTTTTTTTTTTTTTTTTTTTT